TTCAAGCATTCGGGTTGCGAGTGTTGATAAAATTCTGAAACGCGGGATGAGGAAGGAAATAAAGTTTGGGTTCACGAGATCAAAAATCAGGAGATGGACGCAAAGTTGATGACAGGATAAATGAGATCCAGTCGACTTTTGACTTAGAATTTGCTTTTTCTCAGTCAAAAAAAATTCGGCACAAAGGCAAAGAGCGCGGAAAAAAGTCATACTTTGATTTTAATTATAGGCATAGTGGCTACTTTATAGGTAAAAGTATAAATGACATCTAAGATCAGCGCACACATATCACCAGAGCCCTAGAATCCATTCGAGTCGACGTTCTGTGAAGCAGTAGATCACTAGGTCAGCCTCTCATCCAACATAGAAGGGAACATTTCAGATGATGATGAATGGAAAGAAGGTGAGACTAACTTATGATTTAAAAGCAATCAGAAACGAAGACGAGTGGTCGGCATGTTCTGCATGTTTTGCATGTTCTGCGTTCCTTGTGAAGAGTCACCGCCAGCCGAGGAGTTGGACGTAGCGTTTGTCGATCCGATGTCACCGATTCGAATGTTTGAAAACTGAACAGAGGCGTTCGGGGAGTTGGCTTGTACGAATTGAGGGTCACCGGAAGTACCATTACAAGTACCACGAGCGATACCTGGAGTGCTCTCATTCTTTCCTGGGGGGTAGCTGGCGTCGAGCCATTCCATGGATGCCATTTGATCATCTTTATACGAAGTCGAATAGAATTAATTCACACTTAGTTATTGGGAAGAGCAGATCGAGATGAGAGAAAAAGAAGCGCAAATGAAAATGAAACGTACCCCAGATACTCATAACCAAGACCATTCCTCGATCCATACTGTCACTCATTGTCTTCATCCCACCCTTAAGCGTGAAATCATCTTTGTCACCAAAGATACCCTTGTAGGCCTTACAGAACTCGCCGGTGATAGAGTCAAATTCCTTCTTGAGACCTGGAAGCTTGGTCTTACTGTTCTGAATGACTTTACCATCCTGAATGTAAAATCGACGGATCTCCGAGAGCTCTCCCTTGGCAGTTCCATCACTAGTGATAAATTGAGTGACGACGGTGAATTTCTTGGTAGAATCGACAGTTTTCTTAGGTCCGTAAAAGTCGCGATCACCAAGTCGATAGGATGCAAAATCACATCCATCCTTATCACAGATACCACCGTATCGGTTGTCGGGATTATCACCACAGTCTTTACCTGTGCAACTTGTTGGTCCATCACCCTTGCAAGTGTGAGGAGTAAAAGCTTGACTGATACTGTTGGCTTCCCAGACGTCCATCTCGGTACAGCACGAGCCGACTGCGCCAAAGCCAGTGTTTTTGTCGGTCTTAGATGGGGTCCAGTTATCTAAGTTGGCCTGATTTGAGAAAGACACAAGGATGATGATCAGCGAAAAGGTATGATGATATAGAAAACCCCTCCGGTACATATAGAGATCGGCTGAAGATAAAAAGACGAAGACACGAAGAAAAAGACCACAAACCTTTCCGTCAATGAACTTGATGTCATGAGGACATTGAGCATCACAATAACCAGTACCGTATTTCGATCCAGCCTTGTTGGATGGAAACTTCTTCATCCCACCATCTGCCGGCATTTCGGTAAAGTAGAGTGCACCATTCAGACCACATGGCAAGTTCGAAACGTCGACGTCGAAAGAGAACTCTTGATTCTTGAGCTTGAACATGCCATAAGTACCATCAGTGTCTAGTAGATAGACTCGAGATCCGACGTTGGTAGAGTAAGGACCTTGCGTGATGAATTTAAGAGTGAGTTCAGAGCCGGTGGAAGTGATACCGTAGGTTCCAGAATAATCAGCTCCATCCAATGCACAATTCTGAGTACATTCCGCGCCGGTTTTACAAAGCGTCGGATCCCAGTCTTGACCTTTATAACAGTTTTGAGTGCCATTGGCAGCATGGAACCAACGCCAATTAGCATCAAGAGTGACACTGCGAACCTTCTCAGTACATCCAGCGCCTTTGGTACAGCTAGAGATCGAGAGTGGTGGAGGTTTTTCAGGGGTCTGAGTTCCGACAAGTTGACCATGGGCAGAGCTAGCGAGAGCGAGATAGACAAAAACAGCGGCAAGTACGGAATTCATGGTGGTAACTAGTGGGGTGGTTTAACGCGAAACGATGACAAGAAAAATACTTCGAACTAGCGAAGGAAAGAAAAATGTAAAGGTAAAAGGTAAAGTAGATTGATTGTAAAGTGGTTTGAAAATACGCTACAGCGTGATGAGTTTAGAAAAGTGAATCAAAGGTTGGTTAACTATTTGAAAAGTAAGAGATAGACACAAGGTAAGGCGAAAGAAAACGCGAACGATGAAGGAGTATTTATGGTCACAGCCATCAAAGTTGTTTCGAGAGTCAATGATATCACGTCTTGGTTAGTTACGCCAGATAAGCGGAGGGTGGACACGCATTGTTCAATTTCTTCGCGTTCAATCTTACCAAATGCCTCGTGGTTATGGCAGTCTCGGTGGCTAAGATCTCTTCAGAGGAACCCAGAATCTTGAGTTGGTATTCGTGACTTAGACGATTAGCGGTGATGATGAGATTTATGTAGTTATAGTTGTTTACAGATTGAAACTGTAACTGATCTGGGTGCGATGGCCAGACGCCACAGCCCCTACATAGAACCATTTTCTCATTGCGCAGACAACCTGGAAGGTGAATTTTGGATATGGCATCTACATACATACGAAACCGCAGACATAACGGAGTGGGATGGAAACTAGTTGGCAGGCTTTTACTTAGCTTTGCTTTCCAGCGCAATGGTTATTAGTGACGCCACATCAGTGTAGTATCATTAAATGAAAGCTTCTACTAACGAAATTCTCTTATGGGAAGGTACCATTGGGTTGTATGGATTTGGGGCAGGTGTCATCAACAATCCATCAGAATACCAAAAGAGCATTCCCGAGAGCACCAAAATGAGCCTTTGGAACGAGATTTCACTTGTTTACTCAGGGATCAAGATTGCTGGCATGTTGATGGACTGACGATCACATTAAGATTTAGCTTCATACCAGACGGTAGACGTTGGCAGATGTCAAAGTGATAAATGCGATGATCACAAACATGTTCATGTTTGATCAAAATGATGACCTGTGATTCGTGAACATGATGTGGCTATGTGAAATTCTCAGAACTCACTATGTATTGGCGATGCTCAAGTTACCTTTTTAGGTGCAGGCAAAAAGTAGTAGATATGATGGTAACGACTGTTTTTTATTTCGTCAAGTGATCGACAGCAGTTGTGGGTAAGCTACAATGAACTGAAAGACTGTGTTGGAAGAAGTGTACTAAATGAAGGTACATGTGGAGTAAAAAAGAAGGATGACAGCTCGAGAGGGCAGGCCAGAGGTCAGGGAAAAATCTTGGCAGCTCAAAGTCCATCATCACTCGGAACCAGCAGCCGCGCCATAGGTAGACCCGATGTCCCCAAACCTGATGTTGGAGTACTCAACCGATGCATCAGGGTGTGCAGCTTCGACCGTCTTGGGCTCACCGGAAGCAGGATCGCAATCACCACGGGCCACACCAGGGAAGGCTTTCTTGTTGACAGGATATCTAGACTGAAGCCAAAGCAGGTTTGCGGTGTGATCATCTTTGTGAGGAAATAACAAAAATTGAGAATCATCGTCAGAACCAAGTAAGTCGAAATTCAAGAGTAAAGACTTACCCCAAAGACTCATGACCAACACCATTCCTCTTTCCATTGCAGCTCCCATGGCTTTGAGCCCACCTTTGTCAGCGAAGTCGTTCTTGTCGTCGAAAAGTTTCTTCTCAGCCGCACAATACTTGTCGCTGATCGAGTCAAATTGTCTTAATCCGGGGAATCTACTATGGACGTTCTTGATCACACGACCGTCTTGGACGTAAAGACGACGAATTTCAGTCAGATCGCCGTTTGCCGTTCCGTCAGAGGTGATGAATTGGGTGACGATCGTGAATTTCTTAGTGGTATCGACAGTTTTCTTGGGACCGTAGAAGTCATGATTTCCGAGTCGATAGGTGGCATAATCACATCCATCCTTGTCACAGATACCTCCGTATCTGTTGGCTGGACTGTCCCCACATGCTGCGCCTGTGCAGCTCTTGGGACCGGTGAGACCTTTGCAAGTGTGGGCGGTGAAAGCTTGAGCGGCCATGTTGGCTTCCCAGATGTCCATCTCGTAACAACAGGAGCCGACGCTTCCAGTTCCGGAGTTGATGTCAGTCGCGGAGGGTTTCCAATCTACAAGATTGGCCTGCGTTGGCGGAAAGGAAATCTTGGTTAGGGTGACGGGACAAAGATGAAGAATGAAGAATCGAGGATGAAGAGTGAGAGCTTACCTTTCCATCGACAAACTTTACGTCATGAGGACACTGAGCATCGCAATAGCCTGTACCATATTTTGCACCAGCCTTGTTGCTGGGGAACTCTTTCATACCACCATCCTCGGCCATCTCAGCAAAGTAAAGGGCTCCGTTCAGGCCGCAGGGCAGATTGCTGACGTCGACGTCGAAAGTGAACTCTTGATTCTTGAGCTTGAACATCTGGTACTTGTCATCTCCGGCCATCAAGTAAACTCGTGAGCCGACGTTGACTGAATAAGGGCCATGAGTGATGAATTTCATTTTGAGGGCGTCGCCAGTGGAAGTGATACCGTAAGTGCCGGGATAATCAGCTCCATCTAGAGCACAGCTGGTGGCACATTTTTCAGGGTCGCTACAGAGCGTTTTGTCCCAAGTTTGACCGGTGTAACAGTTGTTGGTACCATTGGCTGCGTGAAGCCATCTCCAGTTGGCATCAAGGGTGACCTTGGAGGAGGTCTTCTTGCAACCACCACCCTTGGTGCAGGTTTGGACGGAAAGTGCTGGACCGGTCTCCGGGGTGTTGGTTCCAGCGAGTTGAGCTTGTCCAGCTCCCAAAAAGTGAAGGAGCACGGCGGCGAAAACAAAGTGCATCTTGTACGAACGAGTCATGATCGAAGAATGGATGTATGGAAAACCAGGTAGCAGAAAGCTTGAAAAAGAAGAACTTGTCGTGAGAGTGCAAAGAAAAACTGTGTATGTGATGCTATGAAGGTGATAGTGAAAGTAGAAAGACTCAGTCTTGGAAAAAGCTACAAACGAAAGAAGCAAGGGGCAGTGAAAGATGATAATGGAATGCAAGCAAGAGAGTTGATTGACTGTGTGTTTATATAGAGTCACACTGCTCTCTGTTCGCAATCTCAATAAGCATGTTATTCTCTTCAATCACGGAATTGATCATCAAGGAATGAAATACTTCGACATGAAGGTTCCCTGCCTACGAGCTCAGGGTTGAGTTCGTAGCCAGGGCTTGTAAACATCGTTGCGGATCCTTTCTTGGTGTATTTTTGCGCGCTGAGCGTGCCCACCACAAGAACAAAATTGGTTTGTGTGTGTGGCACAAGAAAGTCCCTTCCTGTTCCGGAATGTTACGCACCTATAGGAAGAGATGGGGTGAATTGTCAACTCACGAGCCGTCGTTCATTGTACCCCTTGATCAAAGCTGTGGTATGTAGACCCATATCAGCTGACTCTGATTAGTTAGACAATACCAAAGCCAATTGCGACCAGATGAATATCAGGAGGGTCTTCTGGAGAATGTCAACATGGCTATAGTGACGTTAACGTTTTTTTATACAGGGGGAGTTAGGTTTGATTCAACTTGAGAAATCGACGAGCCCTGATTTTCGAACTCGAACGAAAAACGACATCGGTCCGCAGAACAATTCGATCCTTATCATCACCAAGTATTTCTCGTTCAGATATTTGACATCATGCTCATATGATACCTTTTTGACATTAATCCCAGCTGAATCCCACAAGAAGTGGACGCTCGCAGGGATCGATGGGCTTATCAGATGGACTCAGGATCTCGAGACCCGTTTCAATCAAACATCTAGATTTTCTCGAGCAGTCTTCCGCTCTTTAGCTTTGGTTACACCCGGATCAAAGCATTGAGAACAAGAATCTAAAGCTTTTTCTAGAAGTACTAGACGCTAGCTATGTTCATGGACTAGAGACTCGAGATTCAATTTCTCATTTATCACTTATGTAGCTGGAAATACAGCCACCACTGTGCTTGAAGATATGCTGCGATATCGATCAAAGATGGTGCACACCAACGATTCAACCAAGATTCGCTTGGAAGCCAGCCCTTTGGACAACGAGGCACTTGAATTGTATCAGCTGAATTTACAAATACAAGTCAAGAAATACCTCGATATCGAACACCGATCAAGCCTATTGAGGTTGCCTAGAATTCCTTGCTCTGATGGAGAAAACCTGTGAGGCAGCGTTGAATGTCGCGCTAAAAAATCGCTTGATTCCGCCCCAAATCGCGTCATCAAGGCCCTACCAAACCGAGATAAGACCACAACGTCGGTGATCGGCAGGAGACCAGGAAGAGAGGATTTTATCTCAAATGTGGCTTTGAAATTCGGACTTCAAAGTGACTGGACAATCAGCTTCATTTCAAATCTGCTGCAACCTTTTTTGAAGTTTGCTTGCCGTTTGTGATTTTTCCTTGCATTTGTTTTTTTGACTTCTTAAAGAGTCGTTATTACCAGGCCTTTTGAATTCATAATTTGTATCATTTTTCTTGACGCGAGGATTTGGGCATTCGTTTGTGCGATAAAACATGTTTTTGAAAATGCTAATTAGAGATAATGGTGAATCTTCTTTGTTACTTTCATGTTGGTAGTCTGATTTTGGCTCTGGAACATCAGACACCGTCCAGCTCTTGACTCGGCGTGAGATGCATAGTCGTGCCTTTGCTTCACAGACCCCATGACATGTCCAAAATCTTACTGAACTGAACAGGTACGGCGAGTTTGATCAGATTTGATGATTCGAAAGTGATAGGAAACACAACAAGACAGTGATATAAGTATAAACTTCACATGCGCTGAGAACTGAACCAAGAACGCTGAAATTCGAAATGACTTGTACCTTGAACCAGCATAAGCTGAGCCTGAAAGGCTTGTAAAAACACTTGACCAAGAGCTCAGTTGGATCAGACCCCAAAGCACCATAGTTCATCGAGGACATCAAGGTCAAGATTCTAAGGAGATGGCCGATAAGCATCCGGTTTTGGCGCAAACAGGTCTAACAAAAGATATTTATCAAGACCTGCAAATACAGCCCCCTTCTTAATATTACGTGTTTTTCAGATCATGCTTTGTGAAGGTATGCTTTACCAGCCCAAGTCAGGCTGGCAATTACATTTTGCTGAACAATTCACTCTCGTAAACATTTTATGCCCCCTCATCAAGACTTTACAATCATCATGTACAGCAACTTCCATGGGCGGAGCAGTGTTATGAGCGTATCGCCGGACACGTCGTTGATGGAGGCTTTCATGGACTATGGAAGCGCTGAGCAAACATTTTAATGCAAAGATGCTAATCAGATCGTGTTTTATGATAATATCTTCTATCAGCCTTAAGATAGTTGAATAAGTGCGGTGTTCAAAGGAGGATTTGCTATCCACATTCGGCTTCTTTCAAATTTGCTTCCTTGTTGTCGCTCTCCCACTCTATTGTATTTATTATTCTAGGCTTTGCGAGTAGTAGTAATTAACAAGGAGTCTCTTGTATCATTTGTTTCGGCGGGATGATTGATCGTCGGATTTTTTATGACTGTGGTTTTAACTGATAATCTGGATGTATATTTGTTGCTTTCATTGCAGTGATATAGGTTCCAGAGCATTAGACACTAGGCAGATCTTGACTAAAATGAGAATACGTGCATCTGCTTTGCATTGATCCATACCATGTCCGAAATCTCAGTGAATTGAACCAGTGATCCGAGAGTTTGATGATTCAAGAGAGTTACGAGGTTGCTAATCTGAAGGGGATAATACAGAGTTCATTGGCTATTTTATGTCACGTGCGCGAAGAAATGGACCGAGGTATTCATTGATAACGCGAGCTTGAGACCGCAGAAAGCTGGACCTCAAGGGAATGCTGAAATCGTTGATTCATGGCTGAGTCAGATCAGACGCCGGAGGTTCGCGTTCCACGGAGGGCATCCACCTCACGTCCCCAAGAGATAATTGAAGAGTATGGATTCTTGACGTGGATAGTTTCTGTGTCAAATATCAACGATGGTGACGTACCAGAACGACCTCTCTAGCCGTTCTTGTTTCAGATAATGTCCTATGAAGGTATCATTTATCAGCCACAGAAAGGCTGATGATCAGTTTTTCAATTGAAAATACGTACTTTCGTAAATATTTGAGACTCCCTCAGAAAAAGATGTCATGATCATTGTGAGGAGGTTTTATAGAAATAAAGAAGGGCTTTGAACGCAGATCCGAATGCATTGAAAGGATAGGTTTTTGTCCAGTTTGGGTGGGATGCGCCAAGACGCTTCGGTGATCGCGAACGCTACCAAAACCATGCCAGCTCATTTAGGTGTTCATCATTGGAAGCACCAATCAATATCATGTCTAATGTGGCGCTAGGGCATCAAAATGGGCACGTCTTCGATGCGTGTTCAGAAAGAAAACAAGATGTAAAAACCATAGGGAAGCATTCATATATCTATCAGCATTTCTAGAAAATGTAAATTGACAAATAACTGACGGTGACGCCTCCCGGGTCGCTTTCAACATTAACTGAGTAAATTAGAAACACGGCTATGATCAATAATGCTTGTACATTTTGTACATTTATTTAATGTGTACTTCGCGCATTTCTGACTGTATTTTCAAGCTGATCCTCCTGAAGGATCAGCAATTCTCGTGACCACGACTTCTCGATATCGTCCAGTCACCATTCGCGTTCCCTATATCCCTCTACAACTCCTTTCCCCCAATTATTCCGATCCAATCACCTTTTCTCTCTATCACATAGTCTTATCTACTCAACACCATCTCCATACATCATGAGTATCGATTCTTGTGTTAGTTTTGGTGTCTATAATACCCCTCCATCAGTATCATATACCGCTTATCAAGATCTTCAAGACACGTCTTCAAACGCTGGAACTCTAGTCACTCAAAACTATGTTATTTTAAATTTACTTGGTTCTGGGGGGTTTGCTTCGGTTTACAAGGCTGAATCAAAGCAAGATCAAGATCTTTATGCTATCAAAGTCATGTTACGCGTTCACAAAACTTACGGTCTTCAAGATGAAATGATTATGAATGAGATTAATTTACTTCAAGATCTTCATCATCCTTCAATCATTAGATTTTATGAACACTATCGTACAGATTCAAATTATCATCTCATTTTCGAATTAGCAGCTGGTGGAGATCTTAGACAGAAAATTCCTATTTCAGAAAAAGAAGCCAAGATTTATATTATGGATTTAGCTAGAGCAATCGGATACCTTCATCGAAACAACATTATTCATCGCGATCTTAAACCTGACAACGTTCTTCTCACTTCTGATAACCGAATCAAACTGGCGGACTTTGGACTTGCTACGAGAACTCAGTCTGGATTAGCTATTGGTCACTGTGGAACACCTTATGCACGTGCACCGGAAGTCATCAATGGAGGATCTTATACAACAGCGATTGATTGGTGGGGTCTTGGAATTATTTTGTACGAGATTGTGATGAACAAACAACCATTTATGTCAGGTATGTTATTTATTCCTCAAACTCTTCTTCATCATTTGAGTCTTGCAGTAGCTAACATATCCTTTGTATTCTGACAGACACTGTAGACGGACTAGATGATCAAATTAGAAATGCGGACGTCGAGTTTACATCATCTGTTTCTCCTCAGTTCTGTTCACTTGTTTGTTTGTTATTGAAGAAGGACCCTAGTGAGAGATTGGATTGTATAGAAAAGGTTTTGGAGCAGGAGTTCTTCAGTGATGTGGTTTCTGGTTTATCATACGGGTTTTGATTGATGTTATTTGGAATGAAAAGTCTCATTTTTTGTAATCTAAAGGTATGTTATTATTTCCTTGTTTTTATTTTCCTCGTGAACTTTATATTATCTTCAAGTCAGGTCACTGACGTTCCTTCTTCTTTTACGTCCCCTGTTATCAGGTTCTTATACTTGGTTTATTGTTTGAATTTAGTGATATGGGTTCTAGTTTATCTCATGGGTTTTGATGGATGTTATTCGGAATGGGCAGTCTCAATTTTGTAATCTAAAGGTATGTGATTATTTCCTTGTTTTTCTTTTGATCTTGAACCTCCTATTATCTTCATGTCAGGTTACTGACGTTCCTTCTTCTTTTACGTCCCCTGTTATCAGGTTCTTATACTTGGTTTATTGTATGGATTTAGTGATATGGTTTCTCCTTTATCATATGGGTTTTGATTGATGTTATTAGAAATGGACAGTCTCATTTTTCGTAATCTAAAAGTATGTTATTATCTGTTTTTTTTGATCTTGAACTTTATATCATCTTCATGTCAGATCACTAACGTTCCTTCTTCTTCTACGTCCCCTCTTTTTAGGTTATTATATTCTTGGCCTCTTCGGTTGGCGTTTTTTCATTTTTGAGTGTCTTGGTTTCCTACACCGCTAAAGGGTTTTTGGGCAAATTGACGTGTAGTCAGGGGTTTTTAGAAACCCGACCCCTGCACGAACATTGTCTCGTCTAAGTTACATGCAAACATCGCATCGTCTCAATCTCGCGAGCTCCACCGATAGTCCACGGCATTTGAGGCCGCTCCATTGTCACCACGCGGAGCTGAGATGTGTCGTCTCCGTAATCAAAGCTCCTGGCTAATAGCCGCGGACCCCACGCAACCGCTATGAAACCCAAACACGCTTCCGAGAGACATGATCTTGCCATAATTATCACGTCCCCAAGATAGTTATCAGACGATCCCCATGCCCTTCAAAAGGATCTCCGATGCATGAGAAGCATACGGAGATATCATATCGAACGTGTCAGAAGACACGTTCAGTCTCCAAACGGCGAAGATATCTTCACTGTCGCGCAGACTGCCATCTCGAAAAGAAACTCTTCGTGATCATATCTGATATTCAGTAAACTCTGCACAATCGTCTTGATACCACTCACAATCAGATACTCCACCATGCGCTTTGTATTGTCGGCCCAAGCAACCTCAGATGAATGTGAGGTTTTCTTCCTTCACTCTCGGTCACATGTGTATCAATTCGATTGTTTTGATCATGATCGATCCAAATTTCTGATTACTCTGTGCGTTAGACTTTGTGCAAACAACTTCTGGTCCAAACGAGGGACAGTGGACATGTAAATTATGTACCGCACGAACCTTCAAAGACAAAATCAAACACAGCAAATTAAAAACTCATATTGACCAAGTACGAGTCGAGCTGGAAAGAGTCTCTGCGTCTGAGCCCGCCGCGGCACCTCAGGGTTTAGGCTCTCGAACCGCCCTTGCGAACACTTTTACATCGTCAGGTTCGATGTTTCCTGAGGAGGAAAATACGCCAGCGGATATCCAAGATAATGACATGGATATCTTTGAAGATGGCCTGGCTGAAAGCTCTGATGAGCTGGCATCATTATATGATCCCTCGCATCCGATCGACTTTGGATTTAACCATTCTCGATCTAGGTCCAGTCTGGACCTAGAAGACTTTCTTGACAACAGTTCGGATGCCGAAAGCGATTCACGGCCAACGGTTGAGCTTCAATCCGAACCGGCTGCCACAGACACATGGCTTCCGTGGTACCCTTTACGAAAGGCAGAGGTGGATTTTTTCGCCTGTCCGCCTGTTGTGGTTGTTGGACTTGATAAGTGCTGACTTTGCACAATACACTTCTGTTTGAACTCCAGCACGCTGCTGCTCTATTGATGTTGGGCACCGGGCGAAACTTAATGTCTACCGCAGAGTACAACCGCATCCGCTCTATTTTGAAGAGAATTCTTGAAGTGGATCTGCCAGATCTGGGTCAGTACAACAATTTGGCTATCTCGATTTGATGACCAAGTATAATACTAAAGTCTACCAATTCCAGGCCACATCAAGAATGTTCGCACCGACCTCAAGGATCGCCTTGGCCTGCGGGTGTTGGAAAGCATAAGCCCGCTTGGGAACCCATGTTTCACACTCTCAGTTTGTGATATCATATCACAAGTGAGCCTGTTTCTTGTTTTTAAATCCGCTTATTGTGGATCTAACTAATTTGGTTTTGAATTACTAGGAGCTGAGTAACCCAGAAGTTGGCCCTCATATAGAATTTTTCCCTGAAAAAGACGAAGGGGTCACGGTTGACCGTTATTCACAATCAAAGAAGTGGCGTGAAGACCTGCCTCCAAGTCTTCGAGTACCCATGGTTAATGTAGAAGGGGAACACTTTTACATATATGAACCCACCCAGCTGGAAGACTCGCGTGTGGTTGTTCCAATTTTTTTTTATAAAGATGAGTTGGCTATCCGTGCAAAGTGCTTGAAGTTAGAGGTGGTTCAAGGGACTTGTGATTTCTTGATTCCTGCAAAGCCAAGATTTGACTCGGATATATTTTTGGATGTAAACGTCCAAACATTCGCAACATCATTCCTGCAAATAGAATTGTGGAATGGTCAGAAATGGTCAGAATTGCTGAACACTCGCTTACTGCGTGAGTTTGCAAACAATAATTGTGCTTTGGTCTTTCCTTAGCTGATCACATTAAGCTGAACAAAATCTCCTCTTATAGAGCGCTCGGAGAAAGGTGTGAGAGTTGTGGATCTCCCAAATCCTTGGCGATCTAAAGCAAAGAACATGCTCATTCAAAGTGTACCAATAGTTCTGTACTCTGACGATACTTCAGGTAATATCTCAAAAAAATGGAATAAACATATGTCATTCTACTTCTCCTTGGGCGGCTTGATACCAAAATTCACAAATCAGGAGTATCACATTCACTCGCTGTGCACATCAAACATTGCAAGTGCTTTGGAGCAAGGCGACCAGATAGTGGATGAATTGAAGTGCATCCTTAGTTTCATTTATCACCCCAATGTGTCCTTCTTGACTTTGTAATTTGATGAGACAAATTTTGTGCACTTGTCAAGCCGCTTTGACGGGGTTTTCAGCTTACGATTGTAGCATACAGCAAGATGTGCTTGTTTTACCGTTTATCCTATGCCACATGGGTGACTCTCCTATGCACGCTGAGATTACAAATACCACGAACCCCTCTGGAACTTTATCACCTTGCCGGATATGCAACTTGACAGTCGAATCCCGAGCTGATAAGCAAACGGACACATATGTTCAGCAGTTTGTTGGAATTGATCAAGATTGGAACCCCGTGAGATTTTTTCTTGAACAACCTTTGTGTGAATGTTCTAACTTTCTAATGCGGCTCTAGGCCTCTCGACCAATACGCAACTGGGCGCGCACACGAGAACAGACCAAGCATTTGTGGGAGTTGACACGAAACCCAAAAAGCATTAAACAGTTTGATGATCTTTCAAAATTATATGGAACTCGTGACTCTTTAAATCTACCGTTTGCAAAAGAAGCTCAGCAGCTCTACCGCTCAAACAAGCACAAATCAAAAGAAGATCAAATGTCCCAGCAGGACATCATTCGTCACTGTCAAAGTTTGGAGGATAAATTTGGCGAACATATGTTCAATCCATTTCTACGTTTGACTGGTGTGTGCTCTCTAACTATTGAATATCTTCAGTTTGTTTTGGCTTACACATCTTCTCCAGGGTTTGATGGTCATGTGGACACCCCAGTTGAATCTCTACATGTTGTTCTACTGGGAGTTACTAAATATATGTATCGTGACGTGATCTCAAAATTATCCCCGACTGAACTGATCACGATTGCTGGCCGGTGGCAATCATTTGGAATTGAAGGCTTGAATTGTGCACCCATCCAGCCGCGTAATATGGTTCATTATGCAAACAGCCTCCTTGGAAAAGACTTCCGTGTGGTCTTGCAGGCTGCTCCATTTGTTTTATTTGAATTTCTTCCTGATGACTATCGACACTGTTGGATTGCTTTGGTCCATTTGGCATCATACATATTTCAAACCCACATCTTCAACAAGCAACAATATGTTTCCGATCTCAAGATTGTTGTGGCTCAATTCTTGAACCGACTTGTTGCTCTGACCGCCCAATGGACAAACAAACCAAAATTCCACATGCTTACCCACCTACATCAATCAGTTGACCGCTTTGGACCACCAAGTCTTTTTCTCACCGACAAAATGGAGGCTCACAACGGTCCGACTCGGGTGGCATCTGTAAAATCCAATCACCACGCCCCTGGCAAAGACATATCTAACAGGTTCAACAACGAGAGACTGGCACGCATGCTCATTTCGGTGGGTTCTTTCTTTGATAAAAAACTTAGGATACGGACAACTGCTTCAAAATTGTTCCGGGACCTCTTCAAAGAAAAAGAGATTCGCCATTCGCTAGGTCTGCACCTACCTATTTCACCCACACCACAAGACAAAGTGAAGGTAACATGTGAGTGTGCATATGCTATTGTACTTATGTACTTGAGAACATCACTGACCCAATTTTTGGCTCAGACTCAAAAACAAACAAGTCCAGGGTTGATGATGACAAGCCACCCAACGAACTGTGTAGCCGATGGCCGGATGCGCAGTGGAGAAAAGGTCTTCAGGCTGTACTAGAAGACGGGCGGAAAGTGGTCAGCGGGACCTTTGTATTGGTAATTGCACTCATACTCAATCCTGTATTAGGATTTGAAGAATCCCTTTTTGACACACAGTTGAATGCGGACAAACAGATTGATTTTGACCGCAAGGCAACATCACCCATCAAGATCGGACGTGTGACTGAAATTTGGCACCAGGTCACATCTAATGTGATTTTAATTCAAGTGAAGAAAATAAAGTTGTCCGCAGGACTACACCCATTTTACGGTATGAGAGAAGTCAAAGAAACTAATCAGCATGCTTGGATTGACACCAATGTATGTCTATCTCAAGTTCTTACTTATATTGATTTCAAACTGACGTGCTTGAAACACAGAATATATCATGTGTACTCAATGTGCAGCACAACTGCCACGACGCAAAATGTGCCATCACAAAAACTAGATCTTTCCGCATTGAACGCACTGCCGCACAGAATAAGAGACCTGAAGTAACTCACCAGACTTTCAACTCGTTCATCATCAATGCAGGGGCTCACTACTCGTCAGAGTTTCACCGAAGCGTGACTGACCATGTGTGGGCCGAAGTCACCCCAGGTCAATGGGAAGACTCCGTCAACAAAGGCCTTTCGGCGTGGTTGGAGAGATGTCCGCCAAAAGGTCTTGGAAACAATCCTATTGATGATCTTTTGCCAGAAGATGAAGATCAGTTGGGGGAAATTGCGGTCTAATTTATGGTGTATACTTGACAACATGTTTCTACTTTTTGCGGTCAATCAAGAAACCTAGGGTGATTACAAGTCTGTTCGTAAAATGATTATACTCCCATTATAAGCATTGTTATCATTGACTTTCACGCCGAAGTTCAATGATAAAGCCCATTTTGAATTGCCTTTTTTAAAGGACACATACTGTAGGTTTTTTGATGGAGTGCGTATATACAAATGAAAAAACCCCAGTGTTAATCACACTTGGGGAGTCGGTACAAATAGGGACTGGCTCCCATGCCCTGAAAATTTGGAGAAGTGCCATATCCTCTTTGTCGACCTGGGCAATGGAGCGCACGTTGTCAAATAGACGCCGATCTATCTCACGGATGGCTTCATGATACCTACCCCGAGAAAAGGTTAATGATTGATAAAAGCACGCTTATTTGTGACAATGACTTGCCTGATTTGATTTCGATTCGGAAGGTTGGTCGTGATCCACTGGATCTTTGAATCCACAAGTGGCCATAATTGATCTATCGAAGTGTCAGTTGAGTCTGCACCACATACCAAATCCGTCCCGATCAAGCGCTTTTGGGCAAGACGAGCTTCCATCAGCATTATTCAACAAATCACATACAAAAGAAATAGCACTCACAATCAATGCTATACGATTGATGTCGTCTTCTTTCATGGAGTAATATCTGCCAAATGGATGGTTTTTGATCTATTTGGACCAGAAGAACGTGCGTAAAAACAAGGGACTTCAAAAAACTCTTCCAAATTATATCCTGACCCACCTTGAGCAACAGTACTTGGAGACATGGAATAGCTGGATTTTTCGCGTTTGGGAAAGCAATATTCAGGAGAACCTGCAGGGACATATCATATTACTGTTTGATTCGCTGTCTACCAAGGAAAATCACTAACCAATCTTCGAAACTTCGTTCTGATCGTTGGAGTCAACCTTTTTACTTTGGTGAATAACTCCAATGATAGCTTGCGATTGGTGATATCAAATCCAACTGGAAAGGTGGCCTCGAACCATTTGTTCCTTGCTAGCCGCCACAGCTGAGCCTGCCGAGTGTAAAGAAACCTGTGGGTATCGCAGTACAGCGCCTGGAAAGTTTATTCATGACATGACACTCACCATTATTGTCCACTCAACACTGGGCATCAGAGTTCCTTGGTCATTGAGAGGAGCGTAAGTTGTTTTTTTGGCCTCCAAAAAGAATCGAGTTGCCAGAATCTTAATCAAAAGCTGGTGGCTCCTGATCAGCAATCAGGAGTGAATGAAATCAAAGGTCTTTGGGGCACTTACATGAAGCGGCACATCAATTGTATCCATTGTTTCGTTGTTTGACGAGGGGTTTGAGAAACGTCTAGCTTGCCGGAGCATGCTAGGAGGGGTGTTTGGTTCTTCAACATCCAAGACACACATTTGCTCTTTCATCTCTTCACTTTTTTTCTTGTGTAAGGAAAGAGAACAAGCACTGAGCTTGTTGCCATCTGAATGATATCGAACGCACTCAAAGGCAGTAATATTTTGATGCGGGTGACATGTCACCCACACTGTTTAAGACTTTCACACCTTCCAAAAAACCACCCCTGGCTCGCGTCAATCGTTCAACCCAGCAAGTCCGATCTCGTTCAATCTTTCCCTTCCAAACCATCAACTTCAACAACTCCCTGCGCCAACACCATTCAAACGGATCTCCACACGTTGAATCTGGCAATCACTGGTGAGGAAGTCTCCTTCTACATGAACTTGATCGGAATCTGGCACTTTGGAAATGCATGGATTCCAAAACTTCGAATTTGGGTGGGTTTCTTAGGGCCACATTCCACAGAGCACCTTAGGGGGAGGCAGGAGGCGAGCGAGAAGTGTGGAACGTTGATCAGGTACGTGACAAATGTGTCATCCATCACATTCCTTTCGAAAAATTCTTGCATTGCTCACCATCGAAACTCATTTGGTCAAGGGATTTAATATTTGGCTCCTTTCACAAAAACCACGATCGAAAGCCAGGTTCTTGTCTCTTTCTCTCAAGAACTTTCCGCAGGCAATCAAATCCGTTTTCAACTTTATTCAATCAACTTTCAATTTTTAACAATCAATTAACTTATTTCAAATTGAACAAAACTCTTTGGACAAGATCTTTGATCGATAATTGATTTCTTTTTATCATCTGTAAGAAATACCTTCCTTCTTTTGATCCAGAACCCTTGATGAGAGTCTGATCTTAAAATTTTTGTTTCTGCCAGAGTGGACATGTAGGAGACGAATTCACCTTTTCAAATCATTTCCATTTTATTGCATACACTTCCTTTCGTCCTGATCTTGATCATATTTCTCTTTCCGTTTTTCTTACACAGTTGAACAAAGAAGATTGTGACTAATGAGCGATTGGGATGATCTCTTTGGAGAAGACATGCACGTCGATGATCATGATGATAGCGGTGGCCGACCACCCAACGAAACCTCATTAAGACGTAAGTGGTTTTGTTGCTCTTTATCAGTTATCAACATTCTTACCTCTATCCTCGTTGTTGTAAATCCCTTGTTTCGCCTAACAGCATCTAGCGCGATGTCGATCTCCGGGCCAAATGACTCACCCCAGACCGCTCCGGCTACACTGTTCCGTCCGCCTCTGCCACGAAACACGCCTGCCTCTGCTGCCCCGTCTCGCCCTTCCTCAAGCCGCGCCAGTGTGAAGAAATATGCTGATCTTCTGAAACTCACAAAGGAGAATCAAGAGGTATTGCAGAAGATGTACGATGTAAGTACCCACCCTCTTCTCTCATTTGATTGCGTAAACTAAATCCACATATTCTTCATCGGGCAGAACACACTGCCCGGTGAAGAGTATTTAGGTATGCTTTCCTACCTGGTCTTTTTATGTCAAGAATCAAAAGTTTCATCTGGGTCAAAGTGGGTATCGGGAAAAGTCATTCGAGTGAGTGGTATTTATTTACATCTCTCTTTGTTATCCACTTCCATTGCATCATCCTAAGAATCGACTTCAATTTTTCTTCTGTGAAACCCTAACAGGACGATTTTAAAGCGCAGGTGACCGAATTCATCTTTCGAGCTGACCTTCAGGCTTACAGCAAGACGGTCGCTGGAGATCACACCACTATAGTACAAAGTCTAGAGATTCTCACATTTGTAAGTAAGGCTGTCACTCACATATTGATTCCACTTTCGTTCAAAAGTCACTAACTGATCCGAATTCTCAAAGAATTATCTCCAAGGTCTCAAGCCTGAGTATATAGATGATCATGGCCCTTGTGATTACGTTGCAGGCGAGGGTTGTGTTCCGGGCACCGCGATGTACTTATTCATCAAGGACACTTTGAAGAACCAGCGTAGTAAGGTACGCGCGGCGGTAAGTGACTGTATTCTCTAGTTTGATACTGATTACATTGAAAGCCAATGTGACCAGGCTGCTGATCAATTCGATTTTCTTCAATCAAGCTTCTCACCAACATCCTGAGTGTTGCTGAGGGAAGTGTACTCAAGGTACCGGCTTCGAAATCGATTGTACTGCAGGTAAAGTCGATGTCTTGAGAATTAACTTTTGTAAACCTTTCTGACTATCAATTCCTCAGGTTGCCCGAATGTTTTTTCCCGCAGTAAAAGCTTTGAAAGACGATGATGCATTGGCCCATTTGGGGCGCGCTAAGGTGAAGAGGATGATCTTCATGGTAAGCTTTCTTGGTGTTCATGACCTGGAATATGGGACTGATACGGTCCACCGTATTTTAGCGATATGTCACAGCTTTCAGCTACCTCGATCACACTGCAAACAAAAAGCGCTGCCAATGGACCCTTATGGACGAGGCCCTGGCTGATCTTCGCGCAAGACCTGACAGTGATGTGCCCTTGTAAGTTTAATTTCGCACTAGCAAGTGGAACCTGAACTGACCGACTTGCTTGTCTTGCAGGTACTTTGACCAAATTGCCCGTTATGACCGGGAGACTTTTACTGGGAAGAAAACATGGGCGACTATCAAAGCCTCCGGAACAATTCCACCACCCTTTGTGGACCAAGTGCTAGCAGCAGCGAACTCGAGTAATGGTAATGTGTCGGGGGGGTCTGGCAATCAGGGTATGGAGGAGGATTTCCAGGAGGAGGATCAAACCCCAGTGTAGATAGTTTGAACGCTATAATCAAAAGCCTGTGTTGTTGCAAAGATGGCCGAGAGTTTCTTTAATCGATGTAAAGGACCTTTTTGCACCTGCTCACCCTACCGTACAACAAGCATCGCGAGGTATTGTGATGAAAATGGTTCCAATTGTGTTCCCTTTCCATACTTTAGCGCGCGGGTGAACCAAGTAACCCACGTACCTACCCCATTAGTGTGGCGTGTTGAACCTGTGAAACCTCCACGTGAACACTTGCGGAGTTGAGCACGCGACGAGCTCACGCAGTGTCCACACCACCACTATGAGACATTTGCGTGTTCCGAGCGTCGGTACTTACGTTTGTGAGCTGTGCCAACTGCGCGTGTACATGACACACTTACTGACCACGTGAATATCACGCGGAATCCCTCTGCAAACAAATTCCGCGTGAAATTCACGTCACAACCCTTTAGTGGTGTATATGGATAACAATATATATACCACCATCTGGATATGTTTTGAAAGATTGCCTTATTTATCACTTGGTACGGGTTAATGCATCTCTATAGTAATGTCAAAAGAATTTCCTTGAGGAACTGCGCTTCATAACCGAGTGTTCCACTTGCCTTTCTCCTGAAATAATCTCATCTTTTTGCTGTGTGTATCACTTTTTGAATACTTTACGCCTATGTGCGTCCTATCAACGAGCCCTAATTTTGACATTGAGTGAAAGTCGTTTGTGGCTCTTTTCCTCAATGGTATGTCGCAGATTAGAACCTGTGATTAAAATTATTATCATTGCCTAGTGGAAGACAATGATTGGATCCTAATGAATGCTTCCTGAATGTCGACTGGATATGCAATGATAGACTACCCGTTGGCTTTTTTTGCAATGTGTCACCGGCTCCAGCTATCTCTCTGAGTCTGAGAAACCAACCAAAGTTCAGCGTTTCATGAGCTACTCTACAATTTTGCACAAGTACCACTTGGGAGCCAGACGCCAAAAAATCTCAAATTGCTTATAATGTGTCCACAAACTAACCAACTTTCCAAGGTCAGTAGCTCCCTCATCAATCAAGATGAACTTCTTTGAAAAATCAGGAAAGTCACTCTTATCTGTCACTAACTGACCCATGATGAATCTAACAGAGATTCGAATTGCAACACGACAAGCTAGCTTCTACCTGTTCATACTTGGGTATTCATTATTAAAGCTAACAACCATAGAGAGAGGGATTTATGTAACGGTGTGATTCTAAAAAGGTTGCTAAACCAACTCTGGGTTTATCATTGATCTATTTTAAATTTTAGCTCTTTTGTGAGACTGTCATTCTCAATGGCTGGTATGCAGGTCTGTCTTGCCCGATTTTTACTTAGCTCGCTCAGATTTTTCAGACACAAAAACAAGGACATGGGATTTGTGTGTTTACACTGCTGCCTCAACACCCAATCGAGTTTTATACCTTGAGTCACATATCGATACAAGTTGAGCGCGAAGCATGATCAATAACAGACAGACTCATTTATTCTTTTGTGAGCTCTTGCGCGCCTGCTTCTAGGCTTTTGACCAAGATAGTCCTTGTGACTCCAGCACAATCATCAGAGCTCGAAATCAGAAATGAGAGGGGGGGAGTACAAGTTCCTCAGCCATTTTTTAACCTACAAAGGTAAGATTATTTTCTTGGTCAAACTCTGCATGCTCGCAATTCTTTCGCGATGATCAATGATGATCCCGATCAGGTCCCGTTTGAGGTCTATCTATTCCAAGAAACTTGAAACAAAAAGAGTGTAACAGGAGAGAAGAGAAAATTCAAAGTTTAACATCATTGGTTGAGATTTGAAGCAAAGCGATGTTGAGTGTGCCAAAGCAGTGCTAAAGTCTTGGCTCAAAATGTTCCTCCTTTCTACGATTTTAAGTCACCGGATCGACCTTGCTACACTGCCTTTATGAGTAGGATCAAATGAGCATCTTCGTTCGGCACAACTGGACTGCCGTTCAAACTTTAAGATCTGATTACATATGATAAGTACATCATCTGACTTGCGATCAAGAATCGGTCGTTGAGAAAGGTTTAAGGAGTTGAATGAATTGAACTTGAATGATTGATAGGTTGTTTTGAGTGACTGCTTCAAGTTTTGATCAGAGTCTGGACTCTGATGCTCAACATCAATCTGATTCTCCTGCTTTTGAGTTTGAATTGAAGAAAGTTGATTGAGTTAGTTTACTTGTTATAGACTACAAATTGAATTCATCAACCAGAGCCTTAACTACCGATGAAGCTTCTCAATAACAACATTCAATCTTCTGTTTTTAAAAGTCATCAACCTCCCTTCGATTAAAATTTCATACAAATCTCAAATTTATCAATTATCCATCAACACAACAATTTACATCCTTCGAATTTGATCAATGTCTCGACCTCAACCAAATCGTTCTAATTCAAATCAATTTAAATCTCAAGATAGATTCGGTATCTTTCCAGAAGCTCTCTTTCGACATCGTCATCAAAACTTATCTCGTCAAACTACCAAAGAAAGACGCTTAAACCTTTTACGCAGTTATCTTCCAGGTTCTTCCTTTTTCTTTCTTGATTCTCGCTTAAACATCCAAATAACTAACTAACCTCAAGATTTATATCTGCATTTTCAGATTGGATCATCATCATTGCATTATGCGTCGGACTTTACTTCACTGGTGATGTTAATGGTTTTCATAGACAAGTAGGTTTTCCAAAATCAGAAGGTACCACATCATGAAACGCTTAACAGCTCCAACATGCAGACCTTGTTCAAAACCCTGCTTACTGATATCTTTTTGACATTCTGCTCCTCTAGTTTGATCTAAACGACACCTCAATCCGTCATACCCATGCCGAAACCGAACGAGTACCTATCCTCCACTTAGCAATCTATTCTATCCTGATTCCTATAGTATTAATCATCACCTGCAGTCAAGGTCTACTACGATCTTTCTGGGATTCTCATAACGGTCTTCTAGGCCTAGCATTTTCTCTTTCTCTAAACTGGGCCTTCACGACAGCCATCAAGAACACAGTGGGCAGACCCCGACCCGATTTTATAGACAGATGTCAACCTAGATCAGATGTGATGAATGCTTCAATCGGTTTGAGTGATGAATCGATCTGTACCACTTCATTAGATTCAAGACTCTTGATGGATGGGTTCAGGAGTTTTCCTTCGGGTCATGCTAGTACGGCTTGGTGTGGACTTGGTTATCTATCACTTTATCTTGCGGGAAAGTTTCATTTGTTTGATCGGAAAGGTCATACACTTAAAGCTTGGTTAGCACTTAGTCCTTTACTTGGAGCTGCTCTGATTTCGATTTCTCGTACAATGGATTACCGTCATCATGTCAGTCAAACACTTCCAACTTTTCTCACCAAATGATAAACACTAACATGTCTTTTGGGTTTTCACAGTGGCAAGACGTGCTCGTAGGAGGACTCCTAGGAATGCTAATAGCATGGTTCGGTTACCGGATGTATTACCCATCCTTATTCACTGAAGAAGCTCATAAACCTTATTCACCAAGACTTCATCCTAAAGACCGATCTTCACCTATCTTACCTGTTGCTAATCAAACTTATGGATCACATCATCATGAGAATAATCGGAATAGTGAAGATTCTAATGAGATTATGCTTCAAGCTTCAAATTCGAATCAAACTCATCAAAGTGAAGATATTCATTCGAATATCAAACATCTCACTTAGAAACCTTTCTTCATCACATCTCTTGATTTTTCTTGTCTTCTTTATATAATTTATTTTTCGTCTGACTTGATCGCATTGTTTTTTCGTATTTACTTATCTTTTTTATGTTGATGAGTTTTCTTTGAAGAAACTTATCGGATCATCTTTTCTTTTTTACTGTTTAGTTTTGATGTTCGTTTTATTTATTGTTTTATTGTAGACTATGTAATTAAGCATTTGTTTATGAATGATAAGATCATCTTGCATCTCAAGAAAGGGAAGTTTGAATGATTTCTCAATGAGAGGTTCATACTTTACCTGACCAGTTTTGAAAGATGGTTAAATGATTTAAGAGGTCAATGGTGGATGTATGCATCAGTGTATTTAACAAGGAAAACTAGAAAAAGATTGGCTCAAGGTTGATGATGCATAAATGTGTTCTTAATCAAAAGATGGCTAAGGGAATGTGTTAGTTAGCAAGTAGCGAAATTAAAATGATCTTAATGACAGATAGAGACAAACCTGCTCAAAGAAGATAGAAATCGGTAAAGAAAAAGAGAAAATGAACAAAGTACACATGAGAGAGCCTTGATCTTTATATGTATACCAAAGACATCTTAAGAATACGGTCAACAAGATATGATCAGATTACTAATACTTTAGTATGACATCATAAGAATAGATTAGTAAGGATGAATGTAAGTTTTGAGATTACCAAACACTAGTCAATTTCAATTTTCTTTTGATCAATTTTTTGGCCCAGGTTTGTAAAAATGAGGTGCTCCAGAGCTCTGAGCTGGTAATCAAGGTGGCAATGTATTGTACGGTGGCATTGTACACGAAAAGTGGTCATAGAAATCTATTTCTTGGATGATTGTGTTCAGGTATTCATGTATATAAAGAGTGTTTAGCAAGAAAATGCGTGGGAAATTTGAAAGGTGGTGGTCTATACATGAGTTCTTCCTACATGCTGGAAATAAGTTGGAAAGAATGATACACCAAACTTAACAAAGTCCCTCGAGCCGTACCAGCTCAAACGAGGGACTTACGCATAAGCACGATTTTTTGGCCTGAGATTGGCCGGGGTCTTTTGCAAAAATCTAGCAAACCCTCTGCTCGCTAATCACCTCAATAAACTGTTTACGAGCTCTTATTCAAAAGAGAGCGCTGCCTCCCTCTCTTTGTTTTGCCGCCCTCGGCTTTTCATTATCTCAAACATGCACAAAGAAATCTCAAAAAGTTCTTTTGGGGCTAAGCACGGGGCCAAATAGATACACATGAAATTCGCATGCTGCGCGAGCAAAAAGGTTTTGATTGAACCAACAAAACATAAGATCAAACAGCAGAGGCTGCTTAGCAGGACCCTTAAGAAAAATGCATTTTTCTCTGGAATCCCCAACCGACAGAAAATTGTCAGTATAGTACAAGAGTTTCTAATGAGTCATTCAAGAGTAACATACGTAGTTTGATTGCGCGGATCTCACCTCATAGATCGGAGGGAGGGCAATTAGGCGAGTCAGGCCTCTGGCCTGGAACACAGTCAGGACTAGGAGGTGGAGCGTATATCTCTAGGTCGCACATCTGATTCGAAATAATGGTTAGTTTCAATGCCAATGATAATATAAACACGGTCGTGAGCACATCATACCTCGCCATAAATAAAATTTTCCCACTTCCTTTTACCGTGGCCAAATGAGTAAATAACAGATTTAATTGCCTTGAGGAGGCTGAAAACGTATCCACAATGGGTATCTCCATCATAAAGCCATTCAGTTCGAGCTTGTCGGAGCTGATCATGTTGAGGGTGAAGCAGCGTTAAAAGGAACTTGATGACCGACATCTCGTGCGTGTGGGTGATGAAGTGATATATGCTACGGATTCTTTCAAGATGTGTGGCGTTTTTGGAGGTGAGAGTGATATCCCAGGTCGCGTGTTCATCATTGGCGAGCACGATGAAGACGGGAATGCTGAGGCCTTCAGCTTCGAGAGCCGTCTTGATTCTGATAAAAGCTTCGCGATGAGCAACAGTTGTACTTGGTGGATTGGGCATATCAAGGTGGTGTGCAAGCCAGATCAATCACGTATTGTTGGGGAGTTTTGAATAAATGGGTATCTTCTAATGAGACAAGGTGTATCTATTGATATATCTGATGAGCTCCGCTGTTCGGCGAGCCAGCTTGAAACAGGCAGGCTTCCCGTGGCCCACTCACACTATTTGCATGGGCACAGGCCTGACACGGCTGCTAAATTAGCGCTTCCAGGGTCTCGGTTGGGTTTGTTGGTGAAACACTTGTAATAATCCGGAGCGCTGGTGAGACCTCTATCATTGACTATTCAAAATATACTGTTCTTTGGAACCCCTGCTAGGACGCTGCAACATGGGACCATTACTAGGTATGAGGTCTCTTCACATAGCGTGACACAGTTTACTCGGGGTGTTGCATTCATTCATACACACTGTAATGACATTAATGGTTTGTTTAATATACATCACACGCTTCATTTTATTGTAAGTCCACAACCGGCCGCCGGCATGTCCTTCAAAAGCGCTTCAAAAGCCGCAAAAACCAAGTCAATACCTGTGACGGTCCAGAATACGATCTTGATTTGCGATTATATAAATAACCTAGGGATGTCACCAAAGGAATTCATGGTGACTTTCCTGTCCTCTACTGAGGAGGAAATGGTCAGCCGCCGACGTCTCAGCAAGGTTGGTTTAGGAGGACGGCAGACTCGATCGATTTTTAAAAATCTGGGCCGACTGACCACGCCATCCAATGCAGGCCGAGACTTATGGTACAAATTGATTTTAGAGGAGGTTAGCACTATGGCAAATGAATTTCATCGGGTCAATACAGTGCGACTTACTACAGATCACCGTGTTGGCCATTGACAGGCATCCCAAATTGTGATCGAACAGGAGGTAACACGCGGCGAGTTCCCGGCTGGAGGTTATGTCAGCTCCAGTGCCATCACGCCCGACTTTTTCAGCGTGGCCGCAGAACAACGAAGAAATGAGCTAGTTCGAAGTGGAATGCACTTTTTACACACCTTGATTCACCGCAAGATCGCCCACAGCTTGCCAAAGAAATCGACAAACCCCAAAGAAGATGATGTTGACATGTGGCCATCGCAACCGTCGCCAACTGCGGCATTATCTGAAGAGCGTTCAACTGGCGAGTCTCGAATCGATGGGGCTATGGATGAGGCCACCGTCATGTCGATGGAGAACCTAGTTTATGTGAAGACCACTCCAAGAAGTCAAGCCGTTCATAGGCTTGAAAAGGTGCGGTGTTATTCCTGTCTACCATGGTATAATGTATGTTGAATGACTCACTGAGGTGCAATTCTGTAGGTGCCCACTGCGGTATGTGCCATGATTGCGGTCACTTGCAATCGACACAGCAACGCGATCCCCGTTGCGAATGGCCTCATGGCGGTAGCCGGTGGGGTTTCCTGTCGAGTCCACGAATGGCTTCACGCGTTGGGACTGATGAGCTCGAGATCGGTCATCTTACTTGCAATTGATCACTTCCGAATTCTACAAGAAAAAAGAATGATTGATCTGTTCAAAATTAATCATAAGCTCATGCCGTTCCTCTGTTACGACAACGTCGACATCAACTTGAAAATCCACAACACCCGTGTTGATAGGAAGACTCAACTATTCCATGGTACCTGGGGATATTTCAATGTAGTTCAACCAGCGCTGTTGGCTGAATGCTCCAAAGAGGAAGTTGGACTCCCGGTGTTTCTGGAAGCAATGGCAGCAGCGGACCGAGCTCCCGTGCACATTGACTTATTTGCTCCGGCCCCCGCGGAAAGCAAACACTGGCAGTTAGTTATCAAATCCCAACTGGCCAAGGCGCTTATTGATTATATAGATCACATACCCGGGGCTCCGGACGCCACCCACTTGCCTCCACTAAGTCTGAAACCTCCTTCAATTGACCAGATTCCTATGCATACACCGAATATACACTTCCTACGAATGATGGACGCACCGGACTCGTCAGCCGATGGTGTGTCACGTGTGATTGAGCAGATTCTGGGGCAGATAGGTATGGATGCTGAGGCTTACGCGGAACATCTCCTGGTGGCCGGGGGTGATGTGGGATCAAATCAGCTGGTTGAAAGTCTCAGGATGAAGCGATTTCCACCAATTGAATCTGTCAAAGGTTACGAGTCCATTCTCTCAATATTTGGAGGCGCTCATACGACCTGGAACTTTGCAAAGGCACTATGGACCCTGCATTGGGGCCACTCTGATAAAAGCGAAGATACCGGGGTATGGCGAACCGCGTTTGCTTTAGGTTTGGAATACAAGAAGCCAGCGGGCTCCCAAGATTTCAACACAATAATGCGGTCAATCCATATTGTGCATAACGCTAACCTAGTGTTTGTTCTCAGGTCAGTAAGACATCAATAATTTTTGTGTAGAATGCCAAGGACTGACATTAATGTTCTCCTTAATGTTCTCCTTACTTTTAGAGAAGTTATAAAGCGCCTTGACGGCATAGATTTGACCAACCCAGCGGACTGTGATAAGGTACTCCAAGCATGTTGGACTCAGTACTTTGACGCGGCCGCCCTTGAAGCAGCCAGGGGAAGCAACAATCATACACACTATAACCTATGTTTGCGTTTGCGGGATTTTGCTACAGTGGTGGAGGCCCAGGCATCCTCGCGCGGTGGAGATATAGGCCGCCTGATGGCGATGTGGAAAAGATGGGCCGTGATGGCGCAAGGGTTGCCGGGTCTCTCACATTATGGGCGCCACATCCCCCGCCTCGTGCTGCTTTTGGAACAAGATCTACCTAAACATTTAGCGCGAATTATCAAGCATTCAATGCTAATTCCTTCAAACGAGAGAGATGATCATTGGTTAGCCATTGACGAGTATATGGAAGTACACATATGTTGGCTCAAGCATCACTATGATTCTACAGTACGTCAGTATTTGCGCTTGAGGCATACCTGTCAGGCTGATAAATCTAACTCTACTCTGGCACTCGCTCGACCTTACATAACTTATGATAGGGCCGCGGGACAGACATTGACCGCCTGACTTATACTCTTTCAAACAACATTCAAATGGTTAGCTTGTGAATTTCTATTTGCATTGCCAAATGGATATACAGTCTGACATTCTATTACAACCTTGACATTATCCATTACACCAGTTACGAAGACTGATGCAGCTCATACTGTCCGAAGCTGGCCGAAAGATCATATACCAGGCCAATTTAAACGGTATCACCCCAGCGTCAATGGAAACATTCCTGACATACGCCGCAGAAAGCTTACGCGCCGACGTGGCTGCTCGACCTCCGCCCCAGGTGGCTAACATTTGGCGAAAGGGTGTGCGCAACATGGTCAAATTGATTTTGGCTGACCGAGCTGCGGGTCGGTCTTCTCGCTTTCGATGGGGTTCTGCCGATGTGTTGTCATCGTGGGTAAATGAAGAGAGTCCAATTGTAGATTGACCAAAGTCAGCGATTGAATAGAACTGCTGCACATGCCAAAAGTCAATGATCACCTTTTATTGGAAGCAGCTCGCTCGTGGACGTCCTCGGTCACACGGTTTGACTGTCGTTTAGCCGGTTTCATATGTGCCTGCGCAAAGGAACAGATAGGATGACCAAAGTCAGCCTCAGTATCGAAGAACGGTACATGCCAAAGTGAAAATGTACACCTTCTGCTTCGTAGGGCCACCCTCCAAGACCTCTTCAGCCACACGCTTCGAAATTGTTCCAGGTGCCTTCTTAAGAGCCTGCTGCTGCGCTTTTGCAACAGCTTTATCCAGAGCAGCCTCGACTTTTTCCTTTTCGCGCTGCGCTTTCGCAAGATCTTTAGCCAGAGCAGCCTCAGCTTTTTCCTTTTCGCGCTGCGCGTTTGCAACCTCTTTAGCAAGAGCAGCCTCGGCTTTCAGTTGTTCGCGCTGCGTTTTTGCGAGCCCTTTAGCCAGCGCTGCCTCCACCTTAGCCTTTTCGCGCTGCGCTTTTGCAAAATCTTTGGCCAGCGCTACCGCAGTTTTGTCTTTTTCGCGCTGGGCTTTTGCAAGGGCTTTCGCACGAGCAGCCTCGCTTTCGTCCTTTTCGCGAGCGATTTTAATGGCCAACTTGCTTGCGTCGTCCCTCAGTTTTGATAACTCGGCACCTTCACAAGATTGAGGAATCTTGTTAGACGTGTTCGACCGGTTGAATGCTAACCGCCGTTCCGCTGCTTCTTCAAAAGCAGAAATGGTTGGGTAGGTGTTCTTCCATTCGCAGAACGCAACAAAGAGCACGTCGAATTGTCCTGTTAGAGTCTCGCTAGCCAAAATTATTGCAAGGTCGGTGGGTTTGGAGATGATGTCAATATTGTTGGCTACATTCCAAGCCATATCGCGTCCGAAGTAGTCCGGCGGGCCAAGATCAGAGGGTTCGGTGAAGACGCGGTAGAAGAAAGCATTGAAAGATCGTTCCAAGTGTGTCACGAGTTTTTCCAGCAATGGCGAGTTCTCGATCGGGTCATCTGGACCACAGACCTGGGCAATGATGCGCAATTCCGAAACCGGTGGTGCAGGTGGGTCAGGTAGGTCGCCAACAAGCGTGAGCAGTTCGGACTCGCCCATTTGAAGCGCACTGTCAAAATTATCGCGGGTCAGCGCGGGCTGAGCTAACCACAGGGCCTCCGCCTCTTCTGGCCGACAGTTCGAGCAATCACAGGAGGCCATGTCATTTTTTTCCTGACGAGCCACCTCTTCTAACACGCAAGTCGCATCAGCATGGAGTGGTATGTAACCGAGCCTGTATATCGACACAAAAGTTTCAGCACTGAAGTATGTCATTGATATCCAGTTGACAACGCACTGGAGATCCACTGCTAGCGCTACACGTAGACAAACTGGAGTAATTGCTAAAGCGTCCATTCGATCATCGTCTGACATGACTGTGGGGGTTTTGAAATCCGAAATCTCGTTCTTTCCGTTAGTTCGCTTTTGTTCGACGAGGAGGATGCCTAAGCCGCGACGTCCATCACGGCCGCTGCGGCCAGACATTTGCACGAAGTTCCCCGGATTTTGACGGCCTACAATTATCACTCGCCGCACGCGTTTCCAGTTCTGGCCGAGACCCAGAGCCAAGGTGCAGCATAAGACAGCGAGATGCCCCGCCACGTACATAGAGACTGCATCGAGTTTCGACTTCGGTCCAGTGTTGGCATGATACCGACGAGCAAACTCAGATCGTCCGTTGCCGGCTTCGTGAGGATGGCCTCGTGACACGTTGAGCATAATCAGGAATTCCAGGGTATTTGTTTGGGTGCCAGAATATAGAAGCGTAGGTACTAAATCTTTGGTGGGTACAACGGAATGATGAGCGTAAACCCCGCGGACGGATGCTTTCAATGGCCGCTTGAAGGCTCTTCGAATGAACCGAATTTCAGGGCGAACAAGTTCGGCACGGGGCACACGAACGTCTCGAGAGTCTAGCTTGAGATTGGCCAGAATCGCATGGATGGCCTGTGGCGGGCAGGTAGCCGACATCAAAAGAAGGGGAATCCTCGTCGCAGAGAGAAAGCGACGTGCTAGTTCACCGTAAGAAGGTCGAAAGGAACCACCATCCTGGACACGAACGTGGCTCGCCATCTTTTTGGCTTGGCCGCTGTCAACAATACCCCATTTGTGAACCATGTGCGCCTCGTCCACTACAATCAGGATTAATCGCTCTTGGAAACGTTTATCTCGCCACATTGTGTCGAACAATTTATTTGTCAAGGCCACCTCCGGACTCTGCAAAGGATTCAAAGCGCCGGTCATCAGCCAGACCTCCCTACATCATGCTAACACGTAACAGATCTTATCATGAAAAAAACCTCACCACATATACAAAAGCATATCGGCCAGCGAGAATTTGATCACAATTCTCCTTCGAGCAGTTTGGCCCGTTCAAGTTGACACTGTTCAAGTGCACTCGACTTTTCTCGCTCACCTGCAAACCCAGAACATGCGTCAGTTGTGATTTATCAGTGTCAGGAGTACAGTAATGGCTTACCTGATCATCTCCCAGTGAGTCTAAAGGGTTGATACAGAGAACAATGGGGGCGTAGTTTTGATGATCATGGGCTAGATAGAATACCTCCGGCACTCGGCTCTTCCCAAAACCAGTGCCTGCTAGTAGGAACACGGTACGTCCGTGGAGGAGGTGCACCGCTGATTTGTTCTGCTGTTCTCGACCGTTGTATCCATATACTGACTGGAACAAGTTGTTGATTTCTTCCACTTGGCTGTTTTCACTAGTATCGACAAACTGTGGAAGCCGCTTTGGTCGCATGGTGAGCGATCTTGTAGGCGCTTGCTGTGCTATTAAGGCATGGTCGGTTTTGGACTGGCTCCTACGTAGCATCGTGCGATGGAGATGAAATAGTTAGAGTGGTGCTACGAGGTCACTCACAATCGGCAACTTGGAGAAATTGAGAGTGGTGCTACGAGGTTACTCGTAATCGGCAACTTAGAGAAATTACGGCCGACATGAGTGGCCAACTGCAGTTTGCTTTTTGGTTTTGACAGTTTTGTCCTCAAAACTGTTGTTGTTTCCGAAATTCATGAGTTTAGGTCGCCGCAGTCTCTTTTAGTCATGTACGGCCCCGTGCTTAGCCCCAAAAGAACTTTTTGAGATTTCTTTGTGCATGTTTGAGATAATGAAAAGCCGAGGGCGGCAAAACAAAGAGAGGGAGGCAGCGCTCTCTTTTGAATAAGAGCTCGTAAACAGTTTATTGAGGTGATTAGCGAGCAGAGGGTTTGCTAGATTTTTGCAAAAGACCCCGGCCGATCTCAGGCCAAAAAATCGTGCTTATGCGTGAGTCCCTCGTTTGAGCTGGTACGGCTCGAGGGACTTTGTTAAGTTTGATGATACACCTAACTTAACTAAGTCCCTCCTCCTCGCAGGCGTCCTCCGGACGCAGGCTCCGAAGGACGCCTGCGAGGAGGAGGGACTTAGTTAAGTTAGATGATACACTGGGCTCTGAGGTAAACTAACAACCTCTCATGTTGAATAAATCAATCCATCGTATCTTACACATTTCTCTCTGAGACTAGAGGCACTTCAAAATACATTTATCCCTCAGCTCAAGTGTCACTTTATATTTAGAGAAGAACTATTTTGGATGATTAAGAGACTTGAGATTGATAGGTATATCAATATCATCACAAAGCTCCATGGAACTGCATGATATGGGAAAAAAGGGAAGGGGCTAAGACTAGATATGCAGAAAGATGCCTCGGTTACTTATCTTGTTCTTTGTAGGTGATACTACTATGGTGCAACTCTGATCTTGAAGCGTTTCAAAGTCTTCAAATATGGGACAAAATAATGTTCATAAAATATTCATTGGAATTACAGATAAGATAAAACAAGATTTCCTGTTTACCATTTGCTTTTCCAAGAAAAGACATTGATAACATGACATGACAAAAACGTGATTTAATTTGATGATATAAAAAAAACAAACGTATTGTTCATAGACTAAGTCTAAATAGGTCCGTTACGGGTCTTGTCACCATTCAAGTTGTTACTACAAAACGTGTGGAATATTAACATTAGAAGTCAAGTGGATAGAGAAATTAAGAAAAATCACTCACAAGTCCCAGGTGAGTCCAGTAAGATAACCCTTGCGTAATTCTTCAGCTGTGGGGTTCATCGAATAGAAAGTCTGCACAAACATCGACAGGTAAGATATATGTTTACGAATAGACACTATGCTTTGGATTATGACTCTGAGACTTACATGTTCGGTGACTGCGATTTGGAAACAACCAGGGTATTCTGTCTTGATGTTAAAGTCGCAACCTATTTTAACCAGAAATCAGTTCGAATCCATTGGAGGTTTTCTAATTATTGTGAAATGATGAAATATCGACATACCATCGAGAACAGGGACGTATTGCACTGTCTCAGGTTTGCCTTGACGTTGGAGGTAAAGTTGCTTTCCACAGTTAGAGGTCTTGGTACTGTGTGAAGGAAATGTGGCGATTAACGGGAGAGCAATGTTTGCTAGAGATATCTAACGGGCTACTAACCCGTTGAGCCATCCACCGGTTGGGTTTCCAAGGCCATCCTGACCACCAGCCCAAAGGCATGCACCAGGTTGATCACCTCTGTAAGTACCGCAGATCTGATAGAGAGTAAAATAATGCAAATTAGGATTTGAGAAAAAGTTGTTCTGCAAAGAAGTTCAATCACTTACACCGGTACCATCAGAAACGAAAAACTGTTATCGGATAAAAAGGAATGAGCGACAAGAATATCGTGAAGATTAAAGGCATCATACGAACACTTTTAGATCCTTTTGGGGTATCGTAACGACGCTCTAAGCTGACTTCATCACGACGGTGTTTTTTCTGACCGGGTGATTTGAGCTATGATCAAAAGTTAAAACGAGGTAGATGAGTGATATGTTAAAGAAAATATTTTGGATTAAAAAATCAACGTACCACTCCAACACCTTGTTTGGGTGGTTTACCATCAGGTTCACATCTTTTTTTAGGATCGTTAGTAGAGAACACACAACCATCTTTCATCATAAAATAATCAAAACAGATCGTATGACTAGTAGCTTCAACTGCAGGGTTAGCCACAAGGCTGAAGAGAGCCACAAGGGCTAAGGAAAAGCTACTGGAGACGAGAAGCATGGTGTAAAAGAGAGCTAAAGATAAGTTAACTAATAATTTTAAAAGTGATGATGGACAAATAAAAAAGCGTGTTGGGGTATGAAGGACGATCGAGTCACTTCCCAAAGATCCTTTTTATAGGCTCAGCACCTCCAGACAAAAACATCAAGTCATGGAATACGCCACCCAATTTGTGCCCTCAAGAATCACCAGGAATCCCTCATTCGTTTTTCAATTTACTACACAGCTTTGTTTGAACAAGACAGAAAATGACGTTTTGGTAAAGGCTATAGCGTGCCGTGTTCGACCGGTGGCCGCGTTCAACTCCCAGTGCCCCCCACTGGCACTGCACTGCCCAAAGAAATCATTCGAAGGTTTCGGAGTAAATTCTGATTCGTATGTGGGGGCAATTTTGTTTTCCCGATTGTTTCAAGCCAAGATCAAGCCCTCATCCAAGCGAGCCAAGCATCAGCAATTCCATGGTACAGTCAGCACCATTCCCACTGGAGATATACGTACGCAAGATGTCTAATCTGCATAAGATTCCATGTTTCAAAATATATACGTCAGTCCACTCTGAAATATTGGTGTGATCAGGGTCATGTGTATGGCACTGCAGGAGATAACCACTAAATCCGAGAATCTCTCAAATGGATGATACTCACCTATACACACTTTCATGGGGTTGGGCGAAAAACCGACCAACCAGTTTCCAAACACCCTTCAATCGCAGTTCAAATTTTTGGGAATCCTTTCGAGATGGCTCGAAATTACATAATACCACTACAAACCAACCAACATTTTTGTTGGTCTTTTTGCTTTCCAAAATTGTTGACCGGTGTGATTTGTTTCGTGATCACGCCCACACTTTAACCATTCAAAAGCTCTTACAGCGAAAGCAATTTGCGGTGACACAAGCCTCGTAAACGCCCTTTTTGCACCTCTTACAGATCCGTGAAAGGTGCAAAAACTTACCCCAATTCTTCAAGCTGAGCTATCGGTGGGGCTGGAGGAGAAAAATCAGACCCAAAGACTGACTTTGGGTCTCTTTGGTTGCCAAGAGCAAGATGTTCACAGATCAGAGGCTCCTTGAGTTTTGATTCCGACCTTTGATACATCCATATAATCATAGAGTCCTTCTATACGACGTATAAACACCGTCAGTCATACCTGTACTATGAATGCAATTGCTAACTCATTGATTCCAAACCTTACATACTATGAAATATCCTCCAAACCTGTCCTCGCAACAAGAAATCATATCAAGTGAACAAATATACATAACAACAAATCCACCAAAACGAAAAACACAAAAAAAAATCAACAAGCGGATTTCTGAACTAAAGCAAAATCATCTATATCAAAAACTCGAAAGAGATTGCAAAAACTATAACGAAGATCAATACACCAAAAAACCAAAACTTTCACTCGAGCTTACATAACCCAGGCCTTAATTCATATACATACATAGATCAAATTCATGTGGCACGCTTGAGTAACCATTTGAGGGTGGCATCGATATTGATAGATTCTTTGGCTGAAATAGAATAAATGCTAACTTCCCTACCTGTGACTTTTGATAAATCTCTACAAAACCAAACCCAAAGTTTTGAATCAATCCCACTTTCCAACCAAAGACCAAAATCAGATATATGAAAAAAGAACACGATTTTTTGTCTTACAATGTTTCAATCAATTCGCCCACTTTAAGAGCTCCATCAAGATCATTCTTGTTTCCTAAGACCAATAAAGGGATTCCTGACAATTCTGGTTTAGAGATCAATGAATGTAATTCGATCTGTGATGCTTCTACGGCCGTTCGTTCAGAGGCATCCACTAGAAAGACAATTGCTGATACACCTCGACAGTATCGTTCCCACATTGATCGAAACCTTGGCTGACTGTTTGATTGCATCAGAATAGTAAAGCTTGATATTTCGGTTCTTGCGTAATGGGAGTTTAGAGTGGAATGCTCACCCTCCGATATCTGGAAAGCGCAGTCAACAGTATTAGTGAAGTTAGGTTGAGGTATGATAAGCGGAGAAATGACTCACCCCATAACTTGATGGTAACCGATCCTTTTGTACATTTCTTCATATTGAAACCCTAGTATGATCCAAGCAAAACCCAAGGTTAGATAAATTCAAAGTGATGTAAAGGTGTTTGATTTACGTACCACAGTAGGTATCATTGTTTCTGAAAATTGACCTGACTTTGTAAATTGGGTTTTCACACACACATACACACAGAAGAAAAGTTCAAAGATAATGTGAGCCAAGCAGCCAAAGTTCTAAGATCCATTGAGTCACAAGCTATTTGTTCTTGACGAGTCAGAACATCAAAATGATTCAAGGGTTTTGATGAAGTTCTTGATGAATCTGTTATGAATTTGATCAAATGTCGAAATTGTTTCTTCCTTCTTCAAATTTCTTGAAATGGTTTTTGGATATAAAGTAGTAGGTTTCTAATTCCTGATGATATTCATAAAAAAAGGAAACTAAATAATCAGATATGACAAACCATAAGAACATTAACCAAGCTAGTCTACTCAAATCATACCAAAACCCCAATTACGATTCCCAAAGAATTTTCCCCCAAATAAGTCAGCTGATTGCTACAGATTCTATGTAAGATGTGTATGAGATAGTTCAAGGATAATGTACCTTTCCTGAATTCTGTAAACCGACCAAAGTGATTTCGAGTTCTTTTGAAAAAAAGAGAGACCGAAGCCAAGAGAGAACAGCCTGAATGATCGAAGACATCTTGAGGATCGAGTAGGATGGTTGATTTGAGTTTGATTTGATGGTGTGATATGTTAAAGTCTTTGAGTTGATAAGAATAATCGTGATGAGAATGAGAATGAGAATGAGATTGAGATTGATTGAGGTTGCAAGATCAAGTTTATTAAAACTGAGTAAATCCAAACTGTCTTTTCAAAAACTGCATTTATGGAGAAGTCATAAATAGAACACGATTTTAAAAAATGCAGAATTGAGGCTCAGGGCTCAAAACGCTTTTAAAATGACTTGAGCACTTCTTGCTCTTCTTGCCTCATCATGCCATTCTACATTCAAATCTATGTACTATACAACGTCTCTCTTGACTGAGTTAATGCTCCCAATCCCACCGGTGCCCAATCCTCCCATTGAATTTCAAGCAGGGAAGGTTTTGATTAACATCTCTTTCGGAGATTTGTGGGAATGGATTTTTGAAATTGAAATGAAGGAAGTCGAAATCTGTGGTACATATTTCATTTTGATTTAAATTTAGAGGTATTGATCAGCTCAGATACTTAAGTGAGCTTTCGCCTCTGGCTTTCTGCCAAACGCAGGGTGAAGTTAAGTTATTGAGCTATGTAGGATTTAAATTGGCTTGGTATCAGTGTAACAGAGAGGGAGACATCTGACAGACAGGGAGAGAAGAGAGGAACGAGGCCCCGATGGTCAGTTTCGACTTCCACCTTCATCCTCAAGAAACTCATTGTTCTCGTTAACTTGGCTTTTCTCAATTTCGAACTCAGTCTCGATCTTTGACCATAACCTTTCAAAGACATAGAAACCTTTGATCGTTTCTAGATGTTTTTTGTTTTGTTTTGCTCAACTCTTCTGACTCTTTAACTTGAATCGCTCTCTTCTTTTTGAATACAAACTCTTTACGATCTTCATTTCCATGAAGACATAGCGATTTACTTAAGCGTAGACCCTACTTAAAACGTTAATACAAATACGATTCAAGTTTTATTTTTAAAACCTTTTTGACCATCTCTCTTCAAGTTCAATTCTGGCTACACTTTATTACATAGAGTTGATCTGATACATACAACAAAGCTCTCATTAAAAAAGTCATCTTTTATTGTAAAATTACCTTCCCCAGTCTAATTTTGACTGTAACTTCTCTTCAAACCTCGTTTCTCTCTTAAATCGCGTGTGGTTCTTTGACTTACCTGATTCTCGACCCCTCTCACATCCTGACTCTGATTGTAACCTCTTCACCATCGATTTTCTATTCCTCATCTCACCTCTCATTCGATTCTCTTTCTTTAAATCGTTCGAGGTTCTTCTCATTCTCAGGTATGTTTTATTCTTTCTCTCATCGTTCTCTTTCATCATCTTCCCTACTTCCGATTCAAAACAATTTTACGTTACTTTGATCTCTGGCTATTTTTTCCTCTTTCGGTCCCACATGTTTTGATCTGAGCCCGACCCGTCTTGTGCCCCGCTTTTTATGCTTTTCCTTCTCCCCTTCCTCTCTCTTCCTCTCTCTCTCTCTCTCTGTTGACTCTCTCTCCTTGCAATACTATTTGGTTTCTAATCGAGTAACCCTAACTAACAATGTGTTAATCAGTAGTGATGATGATATGCTTGAATGTATGCATGTTTCAGTCACATCAATCTCATCACGATGATGGTTGAAACCCCACTCATCACTATCATTCCCCTCCCTTCCTGACTCTCATCACTTCCATGTTATCTTTGCCCATCACACTATTCACCTTTGACTGCTTCTCTTCCAGTCCGAACATACGCTAATTCAACCTCTTCTTACATTTCCCCAAACCACCATGGTCTACTTTCAGCTCTCCATCGCTTCTCCTACCCCTCCGCCTGCCTATCGCCCGCCTCCTGGTAAAATATTGCGGACACCGGAACTGGGCTGACCTTACAGTATGCCCAAGGCCTCTACTCGCTTTCGGAACCGGAAGATCAATTTCAAAACTCGGATCACAATCCGGACTGGATGTCTTGACGTACCTTCCGATCATGAGGATGAAGAGTTTGGATTCGAGGAGGACCGACGGGCGTCGATGGGCGGTACTGCCGGTGAACGCATTGGACAACTCGAAACTGGGGTTGACAAGGAGGAAGAATCCGAACATCATCTACAAAAAGTCATCAATGCCTCGACTGCCGCTTTACTCCGTTCTGCCGTCAATGAAAGTCTGCCGGCTAGCTCAGCAACTTTGGCTGAAGTTGTTCAAGTGGCGGCCCAGAATTCGTCGGCGACCTCTCGTCAACCTGCCGTTCCTCATATCCCCATTCCAGATGCAACAGGTCTCGTCGAGCCTGCAGCTTATGAGGCTTTATATGCCCACTCAAAACTCTTTCTTCCGAGCTCTTACATTCGGTTCAGCGATACAGTTGAAGATACACTGGATAATGTCAATTACACCATGGACGATGAAGACGAAGTTTGGCTGAAAGATTATAATTCCAACTATGCTCGATCTCAAGACCTGCTCAAATCATCTTCTGGAATGCCTGGGGAAGAGGGGAAGAACAAGCGACCCAGTGCAAGGAAGGGGAAGGAGAAAGAACGTGTCGAGCTCGAATTCGATGGACCTGGTCCGTTATCAGCAGATGATTTTGAGAGACTCATGGACCATTTCGAGAAAACCACCGAGGAAACCGTTCCAGGCTTGCATCTGGTACGTATCGTATTGTGGAACTCCCTTTTTGCCATAACTTGAGCGTATAAGCTGATATCGTCGACTTTCCCTACAGGATACCAATCGGTTGCCCTCACTAGCTGACTTTGAACACACTTTTGAGGGTACTGTGATTAACCCCAGACTCTCGAGCGTCAAGATTTTCGCCAAATTCGTTTATTCTCATTGGAAAGAACGAAGGCTGAAGCGCGGCGGCAAACCCATTATGCCTGCAATTGACGTCAGTTCTTGTTTGATATACTCGTAAAACTGCTGTCCGGTTGACAAATTTCAACTTTTGCAGTTTGATGAATCCAATGAAAACAATCCATATGTCTGTTTCCGTCGAAGGGAAATCAAAACTGTTCGCAAGACACGGCGTACGGATGCACAAAATATGGACCGACTGATACGCCTCAGAGACGACTTACATAAGGCCCAAGAGCTACTGAATACCGTCCTTTCGCGTGAACGTGTCAAGAGGGAAGTAGTCGAGCTGGAAAAGGCCATTTTCGAGGGCAGATGTATGGTTAGGGAGATGAAACGTACGTTGCGTGAGCCCACTGGCGATGAAAATCTGCTGGTCGATAAAAAAGAGAAGAAGCGTAAGCGTGAGGGATCTGGTTTTGGGTACGTCACAGTCTTTTTTCTTCATCAGATTCAAGGGTGTCAGCCTTCCCTCTATAGTTCTATCCAACTAAGTACTGATCGCGCCCAGCACAGCATTGTCAAAAGCCCGCTCCGGAAAGCGGGTGTCCTCTCTGCCAACTCCGCCGGAGCCGGCTATGCTCAAGACGTACTACTCTTACACGAGAAAGTCAAAGCAACAAACCGCAGTATGGACCGGGACCTTGCTAGACGCCGAGAAGAGCAGAACGGTTGGGAAGACCTCACCGACTCAGCTTATCAATCCATGGCTCTCCCGGCGTCTGCCATGCGGTGGCGCGGGCCCATGGTGTCGGACACGCCTTCGCTCGCAAAATCAAGTCGTGAATTGGCCTCCGGTTTTGAGCAAGGGATAGCATTTGCTACGCCCATCATTGAAAGCAATCAATACCGGAAACGCGTAGGCCGTGGCGGTCGATTCATTCTTGATCGCATCATTGCTCCCAATCAACGCCCGGCTCGGACGTCAACTGGTCCCTTGGCTAGTACCAGCACTTCACACCTGCTGCCTCAAGACGAAGACACAGCGCGCCAGCGTCGGCTAGCTGAGCGGTGGAGATTTGACGACGACCTACGCAATGAGTTTCCGTCTTTGGACGATCCACCTCTTATTGATGATTACAGTCTCCAGTATGTCTCGAAACGGCGGAACCTACTCGATTCCGAGGATGTCGACTGTTTACAATCGCACGCTGATATCTATCTCTCGCGAGTCTCTGAGTATCTCAACCGAGAACCTGATCCGGACCCTCCTGTGGTCAAGATAGGTAAACTTCCTGAGAAGCCGGTCGCCAATATATTGAATATGGGCTTCGCTCGTGCGCAGTACCCGCTCGCTCCTTCAACTTTACAAGAACAAATGATGGCAGTCCAGGCGGCTGTACACGCGCAGGGGAATAATGCTGTACATGGAAAGCGAGTGGCCTCGGGGCCTGCTCCTCTTAACGGCAACCTGGGTATTCAGATGACTCCACGTGGGCGACGCAACCCATCTGGTCCTGTTGGTCCCGTCAACGGATCATCATCGAACCCCGCAAACAATTCCAACCTATCTCAGTCACACTTGCAGAGCTCAGGGTCTGTAGGATGGCCGAATGGTACTGCTCCCCTGAACGCCGGCACGCCGGGCACGAACTCGAATTCGCCAGGGGTGAACGGAAACGGTCCCACTGGACAAGCAGGCTGTCAGATCCCTGTGCCATATTCAGGCATGTCTCCTTTACCCGGGGGCTTAGCGAGGTCGATTCCGATACCCGCAAACGGTTCGCCTGCGGCTCGAATGATGAACGGCATCAACGCATCTGCAAACTTGTCTAATGGAATGATGTCGATCAGCCAATCCAACTCTACAAATCCTCAGTTGCGTCTCAATGGCAGCCCTTCGGGATCACGAATTTCCGCTGCCTCGCCACCGCCGCAGGCCTCAATCTCCAGGCATCCGAGCCCCAGTTTACTTCATATGAAATCACCAGGGGCAAGGCAACAAGTGAAAAGACCGCCTTCTGCTCTAGGTGTACACCAACAGTCGCCTCCACCCAATCAGCCTTCCGCCCATCCCATGCCCTCTACATCACCTTCACCTTCTCCGATCCCCACTCGAATCAACTCTTCATCTCATCCTACAACACAGCGTATCTATGGCTCTCCACCTTCGAATCATCAACTTGCCAATCACATCAATCCGATCCCTTCACCAAACCAGCATTGTAAATCCGGTGGAACAAACCATCATCAGATGCTTACTCCGGGTTCACATGTCTTTGCTACTACTTATGCGACACATCAGCCAGCTGTTCAGACGGCAACACCCAACTCGGGAACGACTACGACTGGGGTTTAATGATATGAAAGTAAGACTAAGTGTAGGATCATCGTGCTGTGATCGTTTCCCCACCTTAGTGGCATGTATTTTGATGTTTCATGATTGAATAGAAGAGTCTTTGGATGCAATCCATGAACGAACCCCCATTCAGATGAACCTTGAGTGGCTTGTGTTGGTAAAAAGCATATAAAAGATTAGTAAGCTTATGACAGCTTGCATGCGATTTAATTACTTGATAGTGATTTGAGAACATGATTGAGTTTAATGGATATAATGGACTTGGTCCGAGTGTGTGTACATATATATGATTTCCTGTTAAAAAAAGTTGATGTTTTGTTTTGGTGGTGCTTGAATGTTCACAACCGTCACTGAGCTGTGCAAAAGATTTGCCAAGGCTGATCGTGCAATATGATAATTGAGTCCTGTTGGTACAGTGCACTGTTCCTTCACAAAGGTGACATGTATGCAGAATGAACAATCTGATCATGGTGATAGTATGATGAAGTAAACAAAATCATCTTTCCAAAAGCCTTCATGCCCAGATACAGATTCGAGATCAAGGATTTTATTGTGTGTATCACCAGACTTGGCCATTGTCCATGATCAGATTTAAACTTGAGCATGTGACCTTACCACTCTCAAAGAGATGGACGCCCAAACCTTTGAGACATATCAACATCATGTGTGCAGAAAGCTCAACATCGAAGCAATGTTTGAGGTACACTGGTGATGGAATGGTTCTACACACTATAAGCCATAATGTAATTCAACACGTCTTATAGAACCAACAACATTCCTTTGGTTGATCAGACAAGAGTTCTAGTGGCTCAGGGAACTCTTTACCCAATTTGCCTTGCATTGAGTTACCTGGTTCTTTGAGAATATGCTCAGCTTAAGAAATTTTATCAAATTTAGAGATGCAAAAGTTGTTCTGAATTTCTTTGGTCTTCAATTTTAGAGATGCAAAAGCTGTTCTGAGTTTCTTTGATCTTCATGGTAGGTCCACACATTATACCACACTCACTTTTGATACCTTTTGATTTCCTAGAAAAGATTTTATCTGAGTAATTGCACTTTGAAAGGAAACCCTATTGACTGTGGGAGTCCACAAAGCTCAATTGGTATATATGTTGAGGTCTTCACTTGGTGCCACAGACTCTCAAAGTTTTGGTTTTGTATCCCCAGTAGTAGTACCAACTAGCATTTTTGATGCTCAAAGAGAATTCTTGCCAAATGATTTGTGTGCAGATTAGCAGTCATACAAATAGAGAGCTTCATGAGCAACAGGATGGAGTGCCTCATAAATTGGAATTTCTCAAAACTTGGTCTGGTGCTTGAGATGCTTTGATTCTTATCAGGTATCTGAATCCTTTCCTGGAGTGATGATCACAGCAACGTATTTTGCATGAAGATATGTCGTATGATATGGAGGTATTACAAGTCTAGCATGTGTTTCACAAATGAAGTCAGAGATGTGAGACAACTTTCCAAGACTTTTTGAGTGTAGATCAAAGTACTTGGGATGAGCCCAGTGTGTCAAAGATTTTTTATTTTCACAAATTGTTGACTTGTTATGGTCTCTAGCTGAGCCACACAAGTTGAGTTCAGTAATCTTTTCAACATTGTCTCCATCATAAATCTCTGAATTTGTGCATAGATCATCAATCTTTTCAAGTACCTAGATCACCCACTATGGGTGCAGTAAACAGGTGTTTTATCAAAACTTTGCCAATAAAACTCACACAGGTCCACTATAGACCTTTTTTAGACTTGTGGTCCCTACAAACTCAATTGTGTAAAATCATGAATTAAGATTGTCTAAATTTACACAAGCTTGATTCATGTTTTGTCTTAAGATTTGACACATCCAATCAGTCAACCAGGTCAACTGTTCCTTGATTTTTTTGACTCTTCAAATCCCAAACCTTTGATGGTTCAACACTTTGACCCCTCACATTTGACAATCCCCTTTTGAGTTTATCATTTCAACATGTTGGTTCTGTCACCTGCCTTTGGAAGTTCAAACAACAGCCTCAATTTCTTGATTTATGCAGATACAAGTCTGGGGAGGTGGTGGAGGTGTATGAGGGCTGTTGAAAAGGAAGTCAAAGGGTCATAATCTTGTTGCTCCTCATTCTCATTCCAAGACTTCAAAAGAGCATTGATTGGTCTTTTTGATGAAGCTGACATCAAGATGTGATAGGTTTTTGGGATGGATTATTTGACATAGACACAATAATTCAATTTTTGACTTTGCCAGTGTGGGATGACCTGAGTAATGGTGATTTATCATTGTGGTACACAAAGTTGAAAACCACATGAAAAACCTGCATGAAACCACATGGATTTTTTGATTTTCCCCACAAAAACCAAAAAATCCATTTGGTTTTTTCATGTGGTTTTCAACTTTGTGTACCACTATTGGTGAAGCAGAACCTAAATCATCCCATAGTGAATTCCATGTGGTAAGTGATTTAGTTACAACATGCATGATTATATTTTGATGTTGGGACCACAAACATCAGGATGATCACCCTCAACATAATGGGTGCTGTTATGTTGGTAAAGAACTACAACAGTTCATTCATGTCTGTTGTAATACAAGCATTTGATGGATGATTTGTGTTGTAGCAACACTTGAGGCGCTCCGCTTTTTTGTCAAAAATCTGTAGCGCAGCGGCATCCCGCTCTAAGTCAAGCCCGCTCTCGATCCGCTATGAACACAAACCCGCTACATAACCTTTGAAGCGCGGCGCGCAAGTGACATTAAGCGCTATGCTCGCGCTCCGCTTAAGCAAGTCCAGAGGCCAGGAAGCGGGCCGAGGCGGTCATTTCTATTCACATTTTTTTTTTGCAATTTACACAAAGAACACACTTTTTACAAAGAGAATAGAGTAAAAAAAACTCATACTTGCAAAAAGAAACAACGAGTGACTAGAAATTGTAGATATAAATGAAAAAAGCAACAAGTGATCAATCAAGCTACAAAATAGTTGAAAAAGGGGCATAAAGAGTGACATGAAAAGTAAAAAAAAGCTTGAACAATCGTGTATAAGATACTCAATAAAAGATATTTAAAAAAAGAAGAGCGGCTGATCACGATATGTACATTTGGTGCCTTCAGTGAACCTTCTATAACTAAGATGAGGGTGATTTCTTCTTGCTGTGTTTGCCAAACGATGTGAGATAAGCCAGCGCTTCAGAGAACCTACCAACAACCTGGATACCCGCTCGCAACCATTCTTGGCAACCAACACTACAAGAAATAGTCTTTGGTGATAGAGATCCCCGCGCTGGGACAGCGATATTGGCCGCTGAAGAGAAGGTGCGTTCTACAGCACATGGCGTGGCTGAGATGGTGAAGTAGTCCTGGGCAAGGGAAGCAATGCCAGGATAATGACAAGCGTTTTCCTGTTCAAGAAAAGTGAACTTGGGTCAGTTACTTGCTGGCAATCAGGGAGAGTAGTGAAAAAAATAATTACCCTCCACCAAGACAATTTGGATTGGCCAGGGACAATGGGATGACTGCCTTGTAGGTACAAGTCAAGTTCCGCAGCTCAAATGGACAAAGACGTTTGAAAAGTGGCTGATGATGCAAATATGTTGAAGTGGCCGTATGCTTCACTAGACACGGGTGAGGGAGTTGGAGCTGGGCTACCGGGTGGGCTAGCAGGCCAGGATTGTAAAGCCGAGTCGAAAAGATCTTCAATGAGCTTCTTTGCTTCTGAAGCTGTGTCGGAATAATGTAACTCAAAGAACTTGAGGCGGTATTTGGGATTGAGGATAGTAGTCAATACAATCACTTCGGCATTGACAGCTTCAGCCTGGTAGTTCTCAAGCTGGTTCAACATCGTCTTGATCATACCTTGAAGACTAGGGAAAGGGGTGACTTCAAGCATATCAGAAAGAGTCTCGTGGACTCAAAGATACTCGGCGAGGAGGATTGAGCCAGAAGGGATATTGCCCTCCATACGTTTTGTTGAGAGACGGAAAACCTGAAATGAAAAAGAAATTAAAAGTGGAAACATGGCAGAGAATGAATTATAAAAAAAACTAACTTCTAAGATCTTACACAGAGCATCGACCGCATCCCACTTGTCCATTGACATCATGATCCCCTCATAATATCTTGTTTTTCAATCAGCAATAAGGATGGAGTCAACAACCTAAATAAACATCCAAAAAGTCAGCCAGCAATACATAAGTGTTGAAACCATTAAGAGCAACTTACATCTTGTCCTGCGACCAGGTGGGAATACATGGTAAGATTTGTTATGATTGACATCTATGTGATAGTGTTGTGTTGTTGAATCATAGTTTATGCTAATATTATTCTATGTAACATTATCTTTATAACTGTATTGTCATTAGTCATATATATATGTTAGTTGATTTGTTGTTTTGGATTGGTTTCTCTCTTCTTTACCTTTCCATTCAGGTCTAACATTTCCTTTCAGGTAAGAATGATTCAATGTAATGTTATACCTTTCCATTCAAGTCTAACATTTACTTTCAGTGAGATTCATGCTTATCAAGATTGATGTTCCAATGTACCCCCCAACCTGCAATAGGTGAGGGACCACGATAGCCCATCTGAACCGCCCGGGCTTGAAACTCACCACGCCTTGCATTACTTTGGGTGAGTAATGCATTGAATTGCTTCGACTGTGTCAATAAACACATCAAAGTCAGTTGTCTAAGCAGAAGACATACATTGAGTGCAAATTTCAACTTACTTTCATGGCGCCTTGTACCACAACACACCCATTGGCTGGTGTATCATCGTAAGCCGGGTAAGCCTCTAAGTCCTCCTCATCAAGATCGAACTCGCCATCTCCTTGACCAATTGGCGGAAGATTGTCCTTGTCATCGGACTCATCAAAGTCGACCACATTGTGAGTTAAATCATCGTTGAGGATGATTGTAGGGACAGGGACCGAGGTGCTAGGAGGTGTGGTGGGCTTGACGTGACCAGCAGCTAAATCTAGCTCTTTGAGGCCTTTCTTGACTACAAGGCCGAGCTTGTGCGCATAGCGCCGTACGTGATTGACAGATGAATCCCATGCAATGGGATTGTCACAAGCCCAGAACATTTGCTGCATCTCTCGCGCCATCGTATTGTTGGATGAGCCGGAGTCAGTAGTCTGTCCTAGCATGTAAGGACGGAAATCAAAACATTGAGCAAGGTTAGTGAAAGAAAGACAGAAAGATGAAACAAAAAAGGATGATGAAATGAAAATTACTTATCTTCTTGTGCAGTTGATTTGCAATCAAGAACCGAGCAACTGGTCGAGCTAAGAGATGGCCATACTTATTCCAGGAAACCAGCTTCAGCGTGAGATGAAGGGTTTGATAGTTCCAGTCATTGTCAATGAAGTTGGCAGAGACCCCGATGAATGCATAACGGTTGCCCTTTGTGGTCCAAATGTCATGCACCAATGAAAACTT